GCCAATGTGACTGCAGCAGTTGTTAGAACAGCTGGATCTTTATACAGAGATACTGAACTTGGCATATAAATCTACCTTGCATGCAGCTGCTCAGAGATACTGTCTCCTGCAGAGTTAGCAACATTTACAATAAGAATAGGAAGGAGGGTCTCTTCGAAAGGATCAAGAAGACATTTTAACATTTTATTGGCTGAACACCTGGAGGCATGGCCAAGGAATTGGGTGTTATTTTAGGTATGGCTTGTAGTGTGAAAGTAATATATATCCTATCATTGGTGTCCATGGCAGCAATGGTAACCCCAGCGTTGGTCTAAGTGGCTGCAATTATGTCCCTTCATTGGTGGTCATTTAAAGGCTGTAATAATACCTCTAAGCATTGGTGGTCAGTGGCATGCTTAGGCTGCATTAAGACTGCCCCCTAGCATTGATGGTCAGTGGCAGGCTTAGCAAGCAATAAGGACACCCCAGAATTGGTGGTCAGTGGCAGACTTGGGCTGAAACAAGAACACCCCAGCATTGATGCACAGTAGCAGGCTTAGACTGCAATAATAACCCCCCTCCCCAGCATTGATGCTCAGTAGCAGGCTTAGACTGCAATAACAACCCCCCTCCCCAGCATTGATGCTCAGTAGCAGGCTTAGACTGCAATAACAACCCCCCTCCCCAGCATTGATGCTCAGTAGCAGGCTTAGACTGCAATAACAACCCCCCTCCCCAGCATTGATGCTCAGTAGCAGGCTTAGACTGCAATAACAACCCCCCTCCAAAGCATTGATGCTCAGTAGCAGGCTTAGACTGCAATAACAACCCCCCTCCCTAGCATTAGTGCTCAGTGGCACGCTTATGCAGCTATAAGAACCCCACCAGCATTGGTGCTCAGTAGTAGGCTTAGACTGCAACAAAAACCCCACCAGCATTGGTGCTCAGTGAAGTAAAGCAAAAAGAAAGTGTGCACCAACCTTGCGCATTACCTCAGTAATTCTGTGATTTTATTAAATCAAATATATATACTCACAAACAAGGATTTAAAATAAGCATTTACAGAATCTCAAAGGAACTAAGGAGTGTAGAGCCAGTCACGTCATGAGGGTAGACTCTCAAAGTGAGCTGACGCGTTTCGAAGGGAGACCCTTCTTCATCAGAGCTACTATTTTAATAGTAAATATTTTATTTAATAAAATCACAGAATTACTGAGATAATGTGCAAATTTGGTGCGCTCTTTCTTTTGCTTCACTTCACAGTATCAGTCGGGGGTTCTCCAGCCTTGTTGTAGAGCTGCACATCCTTCCATGTATTGGTGGATTTGTTTTGAGGTTCCTCGATTCCTCCACCCCTGGTTTGAGTCCTAGAGCTCAGGAGGTGTTATCTTTGTATCTGCTTCCATTATCAGGTCTAGGCTATAATAACAACCCCCCACCCCAGTATTGTTCAGTGGCAAGTGTAAGCTGTGATAACCCCCCACCAATGGTGATCAGTGGTAGGTTTCGGTTGTATCAGTAACCCCCTCCCCTCAGCATTGGTGGTCAATGACAGGTGTAGGCTGTAATAAGAAGCCCCCAGCATTTTTGCTCAGTGGTTTACTTACCTGCGCACATAATCCCAGGCTGCTGCCTCTACCTGTTTGCAAGAACTATTTTTTCTGTGGAAAAAGATTACTCTTATAGTTCTGGCTTCTTTCAGAACTGGATGCTGAAATATAGAGCACATCCCAGCACCTGGCACACCACTACATATTGGTGATACCCAGTGCAGACCACCCCCACCCCCCTGCCAACATTAGGTACCCCACTGATATTATCTTGTAAAACTATCAGTTACATTATACATAGCCTGAGCAGGGTTTTGGGAAGGGCCCAGCAGGCTCCACCCATTACAGGCTGTCTGCAGAAAACTACCCGGGGGGGGGGTGACTTTACTCCTGCTAAAATAAAGTCCATTAAATCCTAATTCCAGCTAACTTTTTTTCAGTTATTATTGGGTAAAGTGTCAGGTGTTAAAAAATGTTTTTTTTTCCTTCTTGCAGCTCAATTGGAGAGATTATTACCTACAGGAAGTGTGTGTGTGGAGGGGAGTTTGTTATTGGGAGAAGAAGGCAGGCACATACAGCAATAAAAACATTGTCAGAAGTTCTATAATATTGATAAATTGGTCCCTTAGGTTAAATATCTTGGATGTGGTGCTCTTTAATGGGCCCCACCCATACTAATGCATGCAACTATTTGTGTACAACAATGGTTGTCCTCTTTATAGCATCTTTCTCACACTAAAACTACACTTTTGTTTTCTGTGTACAAATGTGAGAAGGGTTAGGTTAGTGAGGAGTTACACGTAGGGGTTAAGGGTAAAGGATATCTGTACTTTTGAAAGAGAATTTGTATGCAGTGCACTCATGTAACCATCGGAGACCACAGACTCTTAGAAGCAGAGAGTTCCTGAAAAAAATTACACTACTACATGGCAATTTTCCCACTACATTTGATACCCAAAAGTCATCAAATGTCATCAACATGACATCACCAAAACCAGAAGTGGCAGTTTAACATATTTTTCCTTGACCTTAAGCACTAATGTATGCATCCAATTGTGGAAAGTAGAATACACATTTAGAGAGATGCCTAAATCCTCTTAGTTCCGATCTGAAATGTAAACACAGTGATTTCCAAGGACTGCAAGTTAGTCTGAACGTGGAGCTGAGCTTTAAAATGACCCTGTTGCAAAAACTATTGCTGCTAAGTTCCTGTCCTCAGAAGTCAATTGGGAAAACCAACACTTCAACCCTGGGCCCACTGCAACTCTCAGTTGTTCCTCTCTCTGACCTCACATCATCTCTGTCTCTGGAGGAACCAGTGAGTGCTCCAGGAGACCCAGGAGGCACTCCCAGAAGTAACAGCTTCCCAGCAGATTTCGGGGGACAAGAACTCATGATCAGAGTGGTGTTTGTTGCCCTGAGCACTGGAAAAGGAGATTTACTGCTTTGCATATAACAGCATATTAAAAATAGTTTTGCATGACAGAGCCACTATAGGATTAGGCAAATCCAACACAGCAAACACTTTACTTCTGCACTAGGAAAGGACTCAGTAGACCCAATAGGAATGTTCTGGAATTTTCTGGAATATGCACTGCTTGCTGCCCTCAACAGACCGGGGTGGTCCAAATACACTGGATACAAATGGAGAAACAGAAAAAGGGCGCACCGACCTAGTGCATTATCGTTTAAAAAATTTATTGAAGAAACAAAAATAGGTATCATACTCACAATGGACATATTAACACAGGCATGTCAAACTGAACAAGATGTATGATCCAAACAACATCTGAGTCCATACGATGGAACTCTGGATGATCAACTGGCTAACGCGTTTCGAGGACACAACCTCTTCCTCAGAGGTTGTGTCCTCAAAACGCGTTAGCAAGTTGGTCATCAAGGGTTCCATCCTATGGACTCAGATGTTGTTTGGATCATACATCTTGTTCAGTTTGACATGCCTGTGTTAATATGTCCATTGTGAGTATGATACCTATTTTTGTTTCTTCAATAAATTATTTTAAACAATAATGCACTAGGTCGGTGCGCCCTTTTTCTGTTTCTCCATTTGTATCCACTATAGGATTAGGTTAGGAGTTAAAGAATAATTAACACAAGAACAAAAATGTAATATATTGCAGCCATTGGAGGAACCACCATTGACTAGAGTAGGACAGAGTCTGGTCAGGGGCCCAGTAACCAGGAAAGGTAAGCTCAGTGCCTTGTTCTTGGCTCATTATCTGCTTTTTGTCCTCAGCAAAGTGATCTCCTTCCAAAACCTAACTTATGCAGGCCATACATGGGTTGAATTCGGAACAAAATTTATTTTGAAAATCATAACTAAGAATTTTCTTTCAAATTTAGCATATTTTTTTTTACTAATTTTTTATTAAAAATGCACAAATAAATGTACAATCAGAGAATTATTCTGTAATATGCAAACAAAAGCACATTCACAGAAATATTCTGAATACTTTGGAAATTTGGCAAGTAACAGATGGCATAATGCCAGTTAATATATAACCAAAACTGTAAATAATACAATAGCTCGACTTCTAGAGAAAAAGGGTCATTGTTGTGCTCGCCCATGTTCTAAGCACAATAAGCTGGAAGGCCTGTGCCCAAAAAAAACTTGTCAGCCAAGTCCCGTCTGTGACTATTAAACCGTGTGTTGATGAAGTATTAAATATAGCCATCATGACAATACACAAATAAGGGAACTATGGGTTGAATCCGCTATGAAGAAAAGGATTCTGCCATGTCTTGTGTATCTAGCCAGGATCTCCAAATTTTAAAAAACTTCCCCAGATGCCCTCTAGCCTCATATGTCAGCATGTACAAAGGCAAGGTTTGGTTTATTCATTTTTTCAAAAAGCCTATGCGGAGGCTCAGAAGAAAGCCAGTGGAGAGCTATTCATTTCCTAGCATAATATAACATGAGCCTCAAGAACTGATTTGGACATGGCAGCAGGGGTGGATTGAACATTGAGGTACTCGGGCACTGCCCGAGGGCCCGGGGTCAGTAGGGAGCCCCATTAGATGTCTCTGGTACCTTTCATAGGCTTTTTTGGGTGTGGTTTGAGTGTGAGCGAGGACACAGGGGCCCCATGATCCCCTATTGCCCGGGGGCCCCATGAGTTGTGAGTCCACCCCTGCATGGCAGAGATGTCTAGGTCCTCAAACACACCCAATAAGCTCCATTTAGGGTTGCATATATTTGGGAAATCAAAGGTATCAGATATAAAGGCTGTAATACTCAACCAATAAAGGTTGAATGCTATCACAATACCACACCATAGTCCCTCTTACACATAAAAAATAAAAGTTGTGCAGTATAATTTCATAGTTTCATAAGAGGAAAACACAGCAGCCTCTTTTGCTGTGGTAGTGTTCTTAACCGCTTTCCATCCGCCCTATACCAGATATACTGCTACAGGGCGGCACGGGTGTGCAAAAATCATGTATATATACATGATTTTGCATGTCCAGGTAGGGGGCGCGCGTGAGGTGCTCGCGTGCCCTACCCACACTGTAAAACACAGGGTCCCAGCCGGTGATTGCTCGCCAATGCCTGGTGATTGCCGAGCATCTCCAATAGGGGGGAGAACTGTTTGTAAATAAAACAGTTCTCCTCCCTGTCAGCTTGTGCACACTGCTTTGTATGGCTATGCAAAGCAGTGTGCTTACAGTGAAGCACGCGGACACCGCCCCAATGTAAAACAGCACACAGTTAACCCTTTGATCGCCCCACATGTTAACCCCTTCCTGCCTAGTGCCATTAGTACAGTGTCAGTGCTTTTTATTAGCACTGATCACTGCATTGGTGTCACTGGGGATGTCAGTGACACCATGTCAGTTCCCCCCCAGTGTCAGAATGCCAGCCGCAGTCTCGCAACTATAAGTCGCTGATCGTCGCCATTATTAGTAAAACTTAAAAAAAAATTAAATCCCAGTATATATACCACCATTTGTAAACGTTATAACTTTCACGTAAAACAATTAATTTACACGTATTGCGATTTTTTTTTAGCAAAGACATGTAGCAGAATACATTTTGGCCTAAATTTATGCCGAAATTAGATTTTTATTTAAATTTTTTCATGTTTAATAGCAACAAGTCAAAAATGTTTTTTTCTCAAAATTGTCGGTCTTTTTTTTTTTTATAGCGCAAAAAATAAAACCGTACAGGCAATCAAATACCACCAAAAGAAAGCTCAATTCATGGGAAAAAAAGGACGTAAATTTAATTTGGGTGCAGCATTGCAATAACCGCGCAATTGTCTGTTAAAGTAACGCAGTGCCGTAACGCAAAAAATGGCCTGGTCAGGAAGGGGGGTAAATCCTCTGGAGGGTAAGTGGGTAAGTTGTGGGAATAGCCACCAGTGATTATATACCAACAGGGCAGCATAATAGTACAGTCTAAGGTTCTAGTGTGGTGCCCCCCTGTGAAATAGGAAACTAACTCCTCTAAAGAAAGTCTAGCTGTCTTGGGGAATCATAGGAAGGTGGATAAAATTGAATCAATATCTCTGAATAGCTTTTTGGGAACATAGACTGGGGAGTTACACAGGCTATATAAACATTTTGGAAGGAAAATCATCTTGAAAAGATTGACACATCCCAGCAGTGTAAGGGGGAGTTTAACCCACTTTGGCACGAAAGGAGGAAATAATGAGCAATAAATTGTCATAAAATGTAGACACTGGCAGTTGAATTTCACATAATTTAGTGGGCTGCAGCATCAGCCGATTTTCGTGTGGCTATTAAATTTGAGTGACCGGGCATGTTGGAATTTTTTTTTGAAAACAAATAAATTTCTAATCAATGATGGGAGAATCCTGTGAGAAATACAACTGAAATAGAAATGAGAGTGAGCTGTGACCTGGAAAGAAAAGAAGATTCCCAGCCATGAAAATTCTTTTCTGTAACAACATGAGGTGAAATTGAAGGCTTGTTTGGTTGAATTTTTGAAGTCAATGGTGGCACCATTGGATTACAAAATGCAAAAAGTTCAGATTTTCTAAAGAAAATACGTTTCAGAATTCAACCCATGTATGAGCTGCATTAGAGTTCCAGTACTGACTAAGTAACCAGAGCTAATGGCAGCTGTGGGACAAGCAGCAGGAACTTGCTGACACAACTGGTAATACTGTACATGGATATTCAGTGTCCATTGTCAGCAGTAGTCTTCCAACATAGTCCCTACCCTAAGCCACACCCCTTTGATGCATTTCACCCCAACTGGACTTATTCGTAGAGGTCGCTGTTGGTCTACTGACTATGCCGACAGCTCTCCAGCTCTCAATGATGTTGGCATGCTTTATATGGAGACCACTGGCATAATTTGTCACAGGTGCTACCAACAGAAAATGGGGGAAGTCATTATGAGGCCCCATAGTCTATAGTTATACCCTTGATTGCAGCTTGCCAGTCATTTAAATGTGATGGCTGCATTATTTTTAACTTTTCAGGCTAAGAACATATGTTAAGTCCAGCCTGGGTGACAGCCACAGCTTCCTCCACAGATACAGTAGCCACCAAGGAACAGGAAGTGTGTTATTTGCAGGAATACCAAGTGGAATTTCCAATTGCCTACTGGACACTTTTACCCCAGTTTTCAGCTTTCAGCGTTGTTGCACTTTGAATGACAATTGCGCGGTCATGCAACATTGTACCCATATTAAATTATAATATTTATAATATTATAATATTTTCCCACAAATAGAGCTTTCTTTTGGTGGTATTTAATCACCACTGGGGTTTTTATTTTTTGCATTATAAACAAAAAAGAGCAAAAAATATGAAAAAAAAGTTTTCTTTGTTTCTATTATAAAATTTTGCAAACAGGTAATTTTTCTATTTTAACTGATGTGCATTGATGAGGCTGCACTGATAAGCAGCACTAATGGGCACTGATGAGGTGACATGGATAGGCAGCACTGATGGGCACTAATGAGGTGGCATGGATAGGTAGCACTGATGGGCACTGATAGGCAGCACTGATGGGCACTAATGAGGTGGCATGGATGCAGCATGATAGGCTGCACTGATGAGGTGGCACTGGTGTGCATTGATGAGGAGGTACTGATGATGCTGCACGGATATGCAGCAATGATGATGGGCACTGGTAGGCAGCACTTATGGGCACTGACTTGCAGCACTGATGGGTGGCACTGCTGGGCACTGGTGGGCGGCACTGATCATCAGGGCACTGTGACATTTGAGGAAAGTGCTGCCAGTGATTTACTTTGTGATCTGCTGTGTCATTGGACTGTGTCAGAATGCGCCCCCCACGCCCCCCAGGACGTCAGAACGTCCTCCCAGAACTGGACAACCGCGCTGTAGCCATCTTTTGGCTATAGCGCGGTTGTAAAGCGGTTAAATTAGAAAAAAGCCTAAAGGAAGAACATTTAATGCAGTCACCATATCTGGTGGACTGGTAAGCTGAAATCAGTACCAGAACAGGGTCGTCCAGTGCCCAGGGCAAGGATCCAGAATTGCGTCCACTCCCCCACTGTCAATGCATGCTGTAGAATGGGTGTACAATCCTGCATCATTATTTGCCCCCTTGCTTCTCTGCGCCCAGGGCAGCTGCCCTTCCTGTCCACCCCTTGTCCCGGCCCCTGGCTGAAATATACAGAATTGCATTTCAGTTTTCGGGATTAGATACTGTATGATTTAATGTCATGTATTGGATTTAGGGTTTAGGTCATCCTTTCTCAACCAGTGTTCCATGGAACCCTAGGGCTCCTCCAGATGTTTCTAGGTGGTTCCTTGAGCAATGAGTAACTTCTGCCTCTCAGGTGCTCTTTTTAGCTACTTGTAAGGGGGGATTCTTCTCAATAATCTCATCACGGAGCATTCTTCCTAGTAACCATCACACCAGTGTACTGTGAGTTGTAGATACTGTATAGTTTCTATAGTACTGGGCCCAGAAAGTTATTTCAAGTGTTCCCCCATGTTAAAAAGGTTGAGAAAGAATGTTCCAGGATAAGGGTTAGGTTTAATTCTAGTGACACATTTATAGTTCCTTTAGTTCAATCATCTAGGCTTATCTTGATGTTAAGGATATACTAGTACAGTAAGCTTATTTTTATCTTTTAGGTTTGAGAAAATAATTTTTTTAGTGTGTAATAAATTTTTCAGGCATTTATTATTTGTAAACTTATTTCTGGCAGCAGTTTTTATGTAAAAAAAAATTTAAAAATTGTATCTTTTTCTTCTAAAAAGGTATAGTATGCAAATATCAACTTTTTCTGTATGGCTCGGTTCACACTGCTGGGATACGATTCTCAGTGCGATGGTTGTGCGACTTTGATGTGACTTTGCATATTCTATGGGGCCAAGTCGCACTGTAAGTCTCACCAAAGTAGCTCCAGGCTGAATTGCATTGATGAGAATGGAAATCATTGAATATAATGAGTTTTCCCTTGTCATGCAAATCTGTGGGACTCCAGTCACACTAGAAATCGCACTGGTGTAGACCAGCACTGAAAATGGAAGTGAAAAAATAATTTATCTACTGGCAGGATCAACCAGTAACAAAACTTTTACAGGGGGAAACTCAGAAAAACAAAAACTGCTGTGGTAATGCTAGTGACTAGGGGTAGACTGACCATTTGGAAACTTGGGCACTGCCCGAGGGCCCGGGGTCAGTAGGGGGCCCCATGAGATGCCCCTTGTACCTTTTTCATAGGCTTTTTTGAGGGGCAAGGACACAGGGGTCCCATGATCCCCTATTGAGGGCCCGGGGTCAGTAGGGAGCCCCATGAGATGCCCCTGGTACCTTTTTCATAGGCTTTTTTGAGTTTGGGCAAGGACACAGGGGTCCCATGATCCCCTATGGAGGGCCCGGGGTCAGTAGGGAGCCCCATGAGATGCCCCTGGTACCTTTTTCATAGGCTTTTTTGAGTTTGGGCAAGGACACAGGGGCCCCATGATCCCCTATTGCCCGGGGGCCCCATGAGTTGTCAGTCCGCCCCTGCTAGTGACTGCATCATAAAAAGATATATAGTTCCACTTGAGACCTGATTCACACTAGTGCATTTATAGATGCATCTTCAGTCACACAGAATCTCACGACGATGAGAAATCACATTATTTTCAGTGGTGCCTGTTCACATCAATACAGTGCAGCACAGCAAAATTTGCATGTGCTACATTATGCGGTTGCAGCGCAATTTTGGCTCCAAAGACTTCAATGGAAGCACACCAAAAATGCACGTATGTGTTTTTAGTGCACTTTTAGCAGAGTTTGTCGTTTAAAATCCAGTCTCCATAAAAAAAAAAAAAAAAAAATGCAAAAAGCATGAAAAACGCATTTTAAAAAATGCACTACAAAATTGCACTGAAAACCGGATCAAGTTTCAGCTGCACTAGTGTGAACCGAGCCTACAAGACCACATAAGCATCCATATTTGATTTTGGTTATGTTAACTGATGAGTCATACTATCTTTTGATTGGCAGGATGGAAAGAGATGCCACATTTGTCCAGAAGAAAGCAGAAAGGGCCACGCTGCGTGTACACCTGAGAGAGAAGTACAGACTGCCACAAGTAAGAAATATAAGGCTGGGCTGTATACCATTGGGAGTGCACTGCTGTTTATTGCCTACAAGGCTGCTCTAGGCTCCAGCTATATGTAAAAATCAGCATTTTTTTTTTTAGAAAATTACTTAGAACCCCCCAAACATCATATATTTTTTAAGCCCAAGAGAATAAAACGGCGGGTGCTGCAATTATTTATGTCACGCAGTATGTGCGCAGTGGTTTTTTAAACACAGATTTTTATAGGGGAAAAAAATACTCCTTAATGAATTTTAGTGCACACAAACACAATATAATATCCAATTTTTTTGGTAAAATATAAAAGATAATTAAACAAAAAATGTGATATGCTAACTCCTCCAAATGTGAAACATAAATTTAGAAAAATGCAATATCAGTCCATAAAGATATAAATGTTAAGTTGTATCAGTGCAATCCAACATATATAACTCCTAATGTTGTGCTATCATCCAGCAATATTGAGTTATAGCCCCACTCCCTGCTCACCTTGAAGTTTGACCTACAAATTATAATAGGCCAAATGCACTTTTAGAAGGACTGTGTAGCCTCCAAATTTCTAATCCATATAGTGTTTCCTTCCACTTGCTCTATCTTCATTGGACCTTTAGCTACAAAACTGTGCATGAAAAAGCAAAAAAATATATACCGTTTTTAAAAAATTGTAAATTATATGCACTCAGATATACACTCACATAAAAAAAAAAAAGAAAAAAGAAAATGTGCTCCAAGATGCAATAATCAAATGTTTGCATTTCTCCACCGTGCAAGCTAATCCATAGTGTTTCCCATCACCAAATATGTGCACCATACACTCACCTTCTTCCTTGACCTATTAGGTAGGTCATAAACACGTAGGGATACTGAACGACTACTGCTGGTCCACTGCTGGCCTTTACTGGCTATTTCCTTTACTCTGGCTCTTTAAGGGAGCAGACTCCAGGATTTCCAATGGATCGTATGGTATATGGTCAGGAGGGAAAAGAACAGATCATAGTGCAAGTAAAAATAAACTCACAAGGATAGTAAAACAGCAAACATGAACATAGCCATCAACCAAAATGGTTCCTCACATCGCTCGTGCTGGTTTGCGCAGTACCGGAAGTGAAATCACTAGGCTCCGCCTAAATAATTGCTTAATTATTTAATTTAAGTGAGGATACACTTGACTAGGAAGTTCAGCAATCTCCTCCTTCCTTTATTGTATTTAGGGTGTATTTCACAGTCAACTGTTAGTGGTATTATAACAAAGTGGAAGCAACTGGGAACAATAGCAACTCAGTCACAAAGTGGTAGGCCATGTAAAATGACAGAGCGGAGTCAGCGCATGCTGAAGCACACAGTGCGCAGAAGTCACCAACTGTCTGCAGAGCCAATAGCTAAAGACCTCCAAACTTCGTGTGGCCTTCAGATGAGCACAACAACAGTTCGTAGAGAGTTTCATGGAATGGGTTTCCATGGCCGAGCAGCTGCATCCAAGCCTTACATCACCAAGTGCAATGTAAAGCGTCAGATGCAGTGATGTAAACCACGCTGCCACTGGACTCTAGAGTAGTGGAGACGTGTTCTCTGGAGTGACCAATCATGCTTCTCTGTCTGGAAATCCAGTGGACATGTCTGGGTCTGGCAGTTGTCAGAAGAACGGTACTTGCCTGACTGCATTGTGCCAAGTGTAAAGTTTGGTGTAGGGGGATTATGTTGTGGGGTTATTTTTCAGGGGTTGGGCTTGGCCCCTTAGTTCCAGTGAAGGGAACTCTTAAGGCGTCAGCATACCAAGAGATTTTGGACAGTTTCATGCTCCCAACTTTATGGGAAGAGTTTGGGGATGGCCCCTTTCTGTTCCGACATGACTGCGCATGACCAGTGCACAAAGCAAGGTCCATAAAGCCATGGATGAGCGAGTTTGGGGTGGAGGAACTTGACTGGCCTGACCTCAACCCGATAGAACAGATTTGGGATGAATTAGAGTGGAGACTGGGAGCCAGGCCTTCTTGTCCGAGACCTCACAAATGTGCTTCTGGAAGAATGGTCAAACCTTCCCATAGACACCCTCCTAAACCTTGTGGATGGCCTTCCCAGAAGAGTTGAAGCTGTTATAGCTGCAAAAGGTGGGCCAACTCAATATTGAATCCTATGGACTAAGACTGGGATTCCATTAAAGTTCATGTGCATGTTAAGGCAGGCGGCCCAATACTTTTGGCAATATAATGTATGTTACACTCTGGTGAACTGGTGGTTCTTTCCTGATATTGCCTCCTTTTGGGCCCGGTTTGCAGTCCAGGGCCTCCACAGATTTTCCAGATACTTCCACTTTAAAGGAAAACTTCATCTTTTGACCAAAAATAACAAATGTACATTTTTTTGCAGGTAAAAACATTTGCATTTATTATTTTTGGTTGCAGGAGGCTGTAAAGCATTGCACCAGCAATTAGCAGATCGCTGGTGCCATGCAGGTCTCCTGCCAACCTATATATATATATGTATATTTTCTTGCCTATATGGGATGTACGGGCAAGCAGATATACTGACCATAAGATTCAATTAACTACCATGGCACTCCATAGCGCCATGGTAATTCACCGGAGAACTCTGTGAATGAATGAGGCAGCGCTGCTTTTAAAAAGGGACAGATTGTACAGGGGACCTCTCCCCATACTGCTGTCGGGGGGTGAACAGCAGGCAGCAGTGGTAGCATTGGGAATATGTTACATGTTCCACTCTAAAAAAGGGGTGGAACATGTAACATGTTCCCAAAGGTGAACATATCCTTTAAGATACTTTCTCCAGCTCTCTCCCTTCTTTCCTCTTCCTCTCAGCCACTGATCTTTCTCCACCTCCTATACATGAATGACGTCACATAGTCAGCCCCGCCACTACATGTTTCGTCACAGGGTCACATGACTTCATCAAACTCTTGTAACATAAATCATTGTAAATTCCCACAAGCACAGAAGCAATGTGAATACACACATGCCCTTTACAAATGTAGGAAGTGAAGGTCATAGAAATGTCCACAAAGCAAAATATGATGTAATCTGAAATACAGCCTGGCTTTCTCTAGTTAGGGAAAGCCCATTCACCAATCAGGTTTAGGCTCACCACCTTTGCTGCAAAGCTGTTCTTTGGTTATAACACAGGGCATTATTTCTAATGAAGTATTTTTTATAGCTTTTATTTCACAACACACCTCACAGTATAACCCAAAGAAATTTGTCTCTTGTGCCTTAGTACATTTTCTGGAGTAAAGAAGGTCATAGATTGGCACTGGATGAGGGTGACCTTCATGAAAATACAATAGCCTCACCATTGATATCACCATTCATTTTTTGCTGCACCAAACAATCCCATGTAAATCATCATTTCTTTGTTTTCACAGAGCGAAAAAGATGAGAACCAAATACAGATGGCTGGAGATGATGTGGATCTTCCCGAGGATCTGCAGAAGATGATGGCTGATGATCAAGTTGAAGAGGAAGAGAAAAATTCTTTTTTGGGCCAGATCCAAAACATCCAGAATATGGACATGGATACCTTAAAAGAAAAAGCTACAGCCACATTCACTGAGATCAAACAAGCGGCAGAAGAAAAGTGTCTGCTGATGTAGCCTGAGTTCAATCTGGAATCAAATATGCTCTCTTTGTTTTTGATTTCCAAGAGCTACTGAATGGAGAAACCTGTCATCACCATATATGACCATTCTCGGGTCCAAACTGAGAAACTTTGACTTTATGTTACATTTTAGCATGGTAAAGAATCAATGCTGCTGGAACTCAGGAGAAAGAAACTCTTAAGATTTCTAATATGTTATTCCAAATACGGCGATATAAAGTTTGGTATGTTTTATGTTATTTGGAAGAAGGGAGTCATGAGTTCTCTTCACTATTGTAGCACTAATTAATTATATAATATACTATTTTATGAGTGGGATCTGGACAGGGGCTACTAAGGTAAGTATATAAAAAGACTCATCTGATCTATTTACAGGTATGTAGGGTTAGCTAAAGACTGGCAAAGGTCTCTCCAAGAACAATGACCAGGATGATAGTGCTTTCTTTGAAGGTTTTGCCTGAGAATTCAAAGATTTCCATTAAGTGTGAGGTGCCCCATCCTTGCCCCACTACCCCTAGGTGCATTGTATCAATTTGCTGCCACTTCATATGGGGAATACAAAAGAGGTTCCTATTGGCCAGAGCTTATGGACGTACCTGAAGGGGTGATAACTGCCTACTGCTGAACGCTCAGGTAACTCTGAAGAATAATACTTACCTGTTTAAAGACTTAATACTTCAGTGTGTCTATCAGTACCAAGTCATTTGATGCTGAGTGCCTATGTCATTAAAGGGAATCTATCATGCAAAATACCCATGTAATAAGCCTCAAATGCAATCTTCTAACTTCCGTGCTGAATTCTAGGGCAGTGAAGCTGAACGTTTTCTGCTTCTTTGTATGTCATGTATTGGAATCCATTTAAATGAAGCCTACAGCAGCCAATGATGGAAGTCAGTAAATTCTGCCTTGTTTCTTCATGTCCTGTAACTGTTGCCCAGTGGTGCATCTTTTGCTTTATGGAGAAATAGCTAATAAATGTTAGCTCTCCTCTAAATAAAATGACTATAACAGTTGATTTATCTCCATGTATATCGCTAACAGTTTACTTCACTGAAAACCGTTTTTGTGTATTTCTTAAGAGATTTCAGCGGTAAGACTTTCACAACACAATTCCCCATACCATCCAACTGCTCTGACAACTACAAATCCTCATGGTGATGTCACCCTTCCCTTCTGAATTTGCTGTAATTTAAAATTCACAATCCAGCAGAAAGAGAGTGACACCCTCCTCACAGTCATCTATGTGGAGCCAGAAATGAAAAATACTGTGGGGAGATCTCATCAAAGGGGTCTCAGGGGGTACATAAGGAGTTTGAAGGCGGTTCAACGCCCAAGTAATAATGAAGGTTGAAATATGGTTGGGTGATTCGAATTACCTGAGATAGTTCTTAAAGTACACCAGTGCCCAGACTGTGGACATTAAATTATTTACTTAGCCTTGACAAGCAGTAAAAGAACTCCACCTCTCTAGCTGCTTTGTGTTGTGAAGTGATTGATTCTCAAAGATCACAAAACAGAAACTCAAGAGGTATGTGCATATGGACATTTCTTGGCATTTTATATGCTTAGTGTAAATTTCCTGGTGCTTTTCAGCGCCTGAGGAGACGTAGCCGCTGCGTTCAGCCTTCCATATAATTGAATGGCTATACGTGGCAGCGTTCCTGTAAATTACATTGACACTGCTTCCTTGCATGGGCATTTACCTGTGCATGTGTGTACATTGCATTTCCCAAACATGGAAATTAAGTAAAAGCATTTTTTAGTCCGTGTCAGTCTGAACTGTAATTTTAGTGCCCGCCAGCAGACTTTTATTTAAAAATTGTAAAATCATAAGTTTTTTTAACCTTCATGCATTCTGAGTGCAGCTTCCCCCACCCCCAGCCCCTCCTTATACTCACCTGAGCCTGATCCCAATCCAGCGATGTGCACAAGAGCTGAAGCTTTCTCGTCTCTCTCACTTCTCACTGGCTTAGAGATATCACTCTTGAGAAGAGGAGATTAAGGGGGGATATGACTCTCTTGAGAAGAGGACATTAAGGGGGATATGATCTCCATGTATAATACATAAGGGGGGATATGATCTCCATGTATAATACATAAGGGGGGATATGATCTCCATGTATAATACATAAGGGGGGATATGATCTCCATGTATAATACATAAGGGGGATATGATCTCCATGTATAATACATAAGGGGGGATATGATCTCCATGTATAATACATAAGGGGGGATATGATCTCCATGTATAATACATAAGGGGGGATATGATCTCCATGTATAATACATAAGGGGGATATGATCTCCATGTATAATACATAAGAGGGGATATGATCTCCATGTATAATACATAAGGGGGATATGATCTCCATGTATAAATACATCAGTGGTTCATATAGTGAACTCAGTGTAGAGTTATTCACCCTGAGGTCATCACAGAGCACAAGGGGGAACTCTTTACATCTGGAGGAAAAAAGATTTAATCTCCAAATTCGGAAAGGGTTCTTCACAGTGAAAGCTGTGAAAATGTGGAATAGACTCCCTCAAGAGTTGGTTCTGGCCAGCTCAGTGGATTGCTTTAAAAAAAATCCTGGATTCTTTCTTGGATACACAGAATATAACTGGATACAAACATTTATAGGTAAAGTTGATCCAGGGAATCATTGCCTCTCAGGGGATCAGGAAGGAATTTTTTCCCCTGCAGGATCAAATTGGATCATGCTTTGCTGGGTTTTTTGCCTTCCTCTGGATCAACTGTGGGTATAGGATTAGAATTTTTTTTTAATGGTTGAACTAGATGGACGTTTGTCTTTTTTCAGCCAGACTAACTATGTAACTATATAGCAGCGGGAGCCATTGGTTCCTGCTGCTGTCAATTACGGCCAGTGAGCGGGGGAGGGGCCAAACTTGATCTGTGTGTTTTATAGACACATAGATTCGGCTCAGGAGTGGGCCTGCATGAGTGACCACCCTGAGAAGCAGCTTGCTATGGTCGGCACTCCTACACCCTTTCTTGGTCTCTCAGACTCCTGCAGTTGCCTCAACTCTCCCAGTCCAAAGGACATGGAATGCCTCCAACATAGAGTGCAGTCTCTCGGATAGAGCAGCTCAGTCTCGAATATGATCACACACCTGTCTTTGCACCTCCCTCCCGGTTGTTGCTCTGCGCTGCGGTATACTCAAGCCTTCATTATAAGGGATGTGTGTACCTGAACACACACCTTTGCTGGTCTTCACTGGTCTTCAACAGGACCTGGACAGTGGGCTGGAGTTTTCTTCCTTCCCAAAACACTTGGAAATGTCCAAACTATGAAGCCCAATCCAGGAATACCAAAATCTGAAGAAAGCTGTCACAACAGTCCACTCATAATCTAAACTCTGGAGTCTTGCACACCTGCGAGCCCTGTGTCCATGTTTAAACCCTTTACATAGTGGCAGGGCTTTGCACTGCCATAGTGGGTGAACACTAAGGCAAAGAAACATCACTTGTATTTTGGGTTGTACACTGCAATTGCAGCTCCCAGGGCATGGGAAAGTGGCAGGAAATTTATGCCAGGTATATAAAATGGTTAGAAATATTCATGTGCATAAACCCTAAAGTTGGTTTCAGTGGTTTTCACATGACAGCAGCCTCAGCTTATAAACATCTGATGTATGTTCACTACAGAACGCTGGATTAGCAAGATTCTGGTGCTACAGAAAGTATTAAAAAAATTATTTTTTGTGCCCTTAGTCCGCGGGTGCTGCATGCAAGCAGTGCATTCAAGTCTATTAAGACACAGAGGCTGCACAGACACAGCCCCTCGTCCAAACTGAAGTGGTGTGGAGTGCGGGTAAGCATGGTCTGTGTTCAAGATCGCTCACTTGCACCCACATTCCTGTCACATTAGGCAGTCCATGCAGCCTCTGAATTCTAATAGACCTGAATCAGCTGCTTTCACCCGCAAGACAGGGATGCAGAAAAAAATGGCCCATTCACAGTATATGGGCCAATGGACCCCTCTGAATGGAGCCTATGATTTCTATGCCTCTGTTGTGAACTTTGAAGGCAGATTTCTCTACAAAGCCCATTGCTATGCAGATAAATGTTGAATAGAAAATATAGTGGCTAAATGGTTACCACTTCCACCTGGCAGTAGTAGGGTCAATGGTTCAAACCCCAACCATGGCACCACCGGCCTGGAGTTTGCATGTTCTCCCTGTGTCTGTGTGGGTTTCCTCCGGGTGCTCTGGTTTCCTCCCACAAAGACATGCTGGCATGTTAATTGACTCCTGTCTAAATTAGCCCTAGTGTGTGTATGTATGAATGTGGGTCAGGGACCTTAGATTGTACACCCCTTGAGGGTTAGGGACTGATGTGAATGTACAATATATATGTAAAACGCTGCATAAAACTAATGGTGCTATATAAGTACCTGAAATAAATAAAAAATATCTATCACCAAAAAAAACCTTTTTGCTTGGGAACTAAACTGCAAACTCCTGCACAGATAAAAAAGGACAAGTTTTTTTTTTAAATACATACTACTCACAAAGCTGATTATCTCATTAACCTGGTTGAAAATGACAAACTTGTCAATAATGAGAGATTTTAAGAGGAACAATTTAATCGGCTCTTTGTGCCACCCCCCTTTCCCCCAATAACTTTGGATGCTGCCAACTTCAAATGTAGAAGCGTACAGGAGTTCATCCACTGCTTGTAAATAGTTAACAGTATTCTCACAGGGGAGTCTTACTTTTAAGTTAGAGCACTGCCTTAATGCTGATTTCACTTGACAGCAGCCTAAGCCTGCCACTGGGGGCACTAGCGGGAGCTCGCTCCAGGTTCCCTAATTGGTTGCATTAAGCCCCGCCCAGACCTTTACTAATGTATGACAATATCAACACTGGGATATACATAGCAAGCTTCATTGGATTTCATGCCACCATCTCTGCACAACCAAGACCCAGACTTGCACCAGGTGAAGTCCTGTCATATATGTGCTACAAAAAGAC